CATTCCCATCAGATTTGTCTCATAGCTTGTCATGTGCCTGCAGCTCAGAAATTGGCAGCAGATCAACTCTCTTGGTCTCCAATGAGTCAGGAACCCATGGATTGGTCTCTGCACTCACAAGTTTTTCATTGGGTTTGCTCTCAGTTTGGTATGCCTCTCATTGATGCCCTTGCCACTCCTCTCAATACTAAACTACCCCTCTTTTGGCCCCCAGCTACTCATAATTTTGCCGTGGCAGTTGATGCTCTCAGCTTGGACAGGTCTCACCTTTTTCTGTATGCCTACCACCTTCTTCAACATCTCATTTGTGTTCTCATTTTGATATGTGACACTATTTATTTGGTCCTGTTGGTGGTGCCCCTTTGGCTGATACAACCATGGTTTCTTCTGCTTTGTTAGTTGCCCCCCCCTTCTCTGCCCTATTCCCACTCTCTTTTACTCCAACCACATATGTCTTTCTTTCACCCACAAGTGTCATTTCTTCATCTTCACATGTGGGATTTGTTTGGTCCTTTGCCTGCAGGGCTGGCCTCTTTGACCACGTAGTCCTTTTTCTTATACTGTTCCTGTTGAACTTCAACCATGTCCATTTATCAATGGAAGTTGTGAGGTTTTCAATGCTGGTCCATCCCCAACAGTCTTCCTTTGGGTCATCCTACTGTGGCATACCTTTTGGCCTATTTCATATGTTTGTTTGACCCTGGATTGTCAGTTTCCACCATTGCAGGCTAGTGGGCAGATTTATGAACCACATTGACCTTTTCTGTTATTGGCAGGTTTTTTCTTCCCCTGTTTTCTCCACTGACTCCATTGACCTACTTACATGCCTGACTAGAACCTTGATGTGGTTTTACATGCTCTTACATGTGCTTTATATGAGCCATTGGTTTTATGTTCCTTATGCCATCTTTTTATGAAGACATATTTCCTTCTCACCAGCGGTTGTTGATATTCGGATGTATATGCCATTGATACTTCCCATACACTCTCTCACTACATTTAATCCCCTACTCTGTCCAAGCCTTTCTTTCTAAGACTTTGGCTGCTTGGGAAAATGGTCATTCTTTATCTCCTATCTCACTCACTTCAATTTCTCACCTCTATTCTTGTTCAGACCTGGTTCATTTTCTATGTCTGGTTTGGGCTGTCAATTGACACATAGTCTTATTTTTGGGATTCCTCTCATCGTTTGTTTCTACCTTAGTACTCCCTTTGTTCAAGGACCTCTCACCTTCTACTCATACAGGATGTGTCTGCCAACTCCTCTGGTTGGTGTATTATTCCCTGGATATTGATGCTAACAGGCTCTTTTACATTTTATCACATCAGATTTGTCACCTATCTCAATCTCTTTCATCTCCATTTGGTCACTGTTCTTCAATTTACACATCATCTTTGAGAATGATGTATACATTTTCTTTCCTTTTATAGGATTCCTCCAGGTGGTTTTTTTGCTTCCCCAGGGTATGCTTATCTTCTAAAATCTGTATTAGGCCACCAGGGGAAAGTACTTAGTCCATCAACCATGACTCTATCTGTGCCAGCTGTTGATGTGGGGTGTTCTGCAAGACCACTATAAGTATGCATGTGATACTAAAATTACTCAATTGCCTGATCCAGACCATCTACTTCTTTGGCTCATGCATGCTGGATTTTTAAAATAGGGTTTCATGGTCATTTGTTGCATCATTTCCAATAAAAGACATTTATGGCTGGCATCTGATGAGGATCTGGGCACTTCTCTGGGTCTCCCCAATGTGAATCCTTCCTTCTTCAAGTGGAGCATGGGAGACCCTTGCCATTCACCAGTTCCTAGCCACTGGGGTAGTGATCTTGGAGAGCTCCTCACTGATTGTATACAGCACAGTACAGTGGAAAGTAGGATGGTGATGGCACTGTTTATGTAGTGCAGATCATCACTCAAACAGTTAGTTTGCATTCCTACTGCAGTAGGATGGGTTCATCACCCCTTTCTGTCTGTCCAGTTGTGTTGAGGTCAGACACAAATTGTATGATATGATCACACCTTAACTTCTTAACTTGCTGATTGCTTATGTGATAGTGCTTTGTTGGTCATACAAAAATTCTGCCCATCCTTACAACACTTGAGGCTCTTTTGCCTTTCCTTCTGGGCAAAGAGTATACTCTGGTTAAGATGAGATGCAGTCTCCCATGAGTGTGCTCGTATGGAGTTTCTTCCATTGTGTAACAAACTCCATGGTTTTTTCCCTTTGTGCACTTTCTGAAGAGAGCTCATCTGGGTTGAATGGTTGCACCAGCTCCTCCACCATTTCATAGTGGAGTCTTAGCTTTTCTGTGTATAGAGGTGAGATATTGTTTTGGAAGTTAACATTTTCCTTTCCCAAACATGTATATCCAATAGATACTCATTTCCACACACCTTCCCATCTTTCCTCCCCACTTCTGGTGCACTTTCTTCTTGCTTCATTTAAGAATGAAACTAATTTGAGCAAGGCTACTGTGCAGGGAGATTGTGTTTCCCTCTTATTGGTGGAGGGCTGTCATTGCATGATGATGATATGCACTAGCACAGTTCACATTACATGTGTTTTAGGTGGGAGGTAGCTCAAGGCTAGTGGCATGCAAACCTCATGTGTAAAAGAATCAACCTATTGTTATGACAGTGGAAGTCATGCAATGCTGGGAGCATGCGTACTGGAGTTTCTAGAAGGATCATGACTTATCGAGGAAGCCCGCGAATGTCCGAGTGTTTGCCAGGCACCCTCTTTTTT